TTCAGTTGCGCCTTGAATTTAGCCAGTGGATTGTCATAGAACATCTGGAAGACATCTTTGGCCGTCAGGCGCACGTCACACTCAATTACCATCTCACACACTGCCGCCAAAGTAAGCGTAATGGAAGGCGTCGGCAATGCAAAGTTGACTTCCGGAGTGAGGACCAGGAGATGGACTTGCCTTTTGTATTCCTGGTTCAAGGCTGGATCAAAGACGATGACCTCATACGGTCCCAAGAGATTGGCTAACTTGGCAAGCGGATCCGTCTGGTCAATCAGAGGAAGCAATAAGGCACACGGTTCTTTGGGAGTGACTTCACGCGCTTGTTGCAGATTACCCTTTGACACAAATGCTATGCCACCTCGATTGGTGGAAAGCTGTTGTTTCTGCACAAACGGTACGGGTAGTTTGTCCTTGGAGATAAATGGATGGTCTGCTTGAAGTTGGAGATCCTCCCATTTACTCTGCTTCACTTGCTTCTTCTTCATCTTCCAGGGATCATCAAATTGCCACGGATCTGTTGCTTGCATCGGTGTGTCAGGGCTGGAGGCCCCTTCCATTCCACCCAATGATACAGCAGAACATGGTTGTAGCAAATGAACACCACCCACTAACAGAAAGAGTCGACGAATATTGCCTGCAAAGGTAGCCAGCATGTGAGGAGAACCCGATCGCCTCCAGACAACCTCAGATTCTTCAATGATTTGCTCAATGATCTGTCGCTTGGGAGTGGGTACATGGAATCCGTCAGGAAGGTGTACATCAGCGACAACCCATCTGCGCAAGAGCTCCCATCCACACATCCCAGGCCTAGTACGGTTGGTGTCAATGATGATAATGGGCCTGAACCCAAACGGGATGATGTGATCGATTGCAAAGTCATGCCAGAACTGATGGTCCCTGGCTGGCACCTGAAGGAACACCGCCCTACAAGTGTGCTCCTGGGCATTGCAGATGACCTCAATCCCAATCCAATGGCCCTCTCGGAGTGCCACAAACCGCTGAACTTCATCGCATGGCACCCTGACTCCAGCTGTGATGAGGGAGAGATCATGATGTAGCACTGGTGGGATAAAGGAATCCGGGATGAAAAAGGACAGAGCAAATTCAATCTCATCGCTGGTAGCCCAGCCTGGATGTGTCCGGTAAATGTTGAGTCTCATGTCCAGCCACTCATCTGCCACAAAGAAGATCTCTTGAATATCATACACTGGAAAGGCTCTACCCGTAGCACGGAGAATAAGGTCAGATGCTCTGCTAGGGAATTCAGTGATGGCCAGTAGGAAGGCTCCGCGGCATGCCCTTGCAAATTGAACCATCCTGTCGTCTGCCTGTGTGTCCCTCCATACCGAATCAGCTTGGTCAACTACTTGCAAGATGTGGACTGCATATTGAGACCTCTGCAGTCTTTGCATCGTCCTGTGCGTTTCCGGCAATCGTGGGGAGCCCACTCTGGCATAGAACGTCCGCAGGGTATGCCATGGCGCAAGGTCATTGTCTTCAGCTGTACGAATCCAGCGGTAAGCTGTTGGTGCCACAGGGATCCCCATGGTGTTGATCAATTCCAGAACTGCATTCGTCTGCCGAATCGTCAGTTGCTCTGGTGAATGATACAAAATCCTCCACTGGCCTTCAAAGAATCGGATCTCGACAAAAATCCAATCGAAGACGACCAAAATGGGGACAACAAAATGCTGATAGCAGCGAATCAGATCTGCTGGTGCTGTGGGGAACCGGAACTGCGACTCGGTACTGATCCAGCGACCTGGCAAACACCAGCAAATTGTCGGCGTGAGAATCTGCAAAACGTCAAAGTGGAAGACAACTTCATCAATTGCAAGAGCACCGGGTTCCATATTGAATTGAAGAAGCCGTGCTGTGATCACATCATTGTGAATATTACAGCTTGGTTGCTCTGACAGCCTGTCCATGCCCCCGAAGACAACATGAACGCCATCAATCCGATGAAAGCCTCTGTGGTCAGCACCTCCTTGGAGAGTGATTGGCTGAATTTCATCCTGCTGTGGAAGGCAAAGTGAGTCCCTGGTATCTTGCAGATCCATTCCCCCAAAGAGGATAGGGGCCGCATTGGAAGCCCTGGAATCACACCAAAGGATGTCTCCATTAATGAGCATCATTGGTTGATCATCCCTGCATTCGACCAGATTCCTCATGACGACATGGCATTGCTGGCCCAGGATCTCATTGCATTGCCGCGGAGTAACAGTTCTGGGCATCTGAGAAATCTTACACCACTTCAGGTCTTGACCGCCTGCAAGAAGGACCCACTTATTCTGGTTGACTGGTTCGTAGTGGCCTTTGATAGCAATCACCACATGTACCCCCATAAGTCGCTGGCAGGCATCATGGTTCCCCTTGAAGAAATGCATTGCACCATCTGGACCTTGAAATGTAGGAATGCTACCAAGTCTGCTAAGGTTGGCATCCTGAATCCATTCAAATGTTCCATCCTGCTGGATCAGAAGGATCTTGCCAATCTGACAGGGTGCCTCATCTTGACATAGGTATTCGGCAACATGGAAGAATCCCATGCGATGGATTTCCTGCAAGTGATCGAAATCCGGATCCTCCTCTCGTTCCCCCCAAGGTTGAGTAGGGGAAACAATAGGATCAGCATCATCAGTAGGATTCGTCTGGATGACGTGGAGGGTGCAAAGAGTGAAATTCCTCAACTTGACCATAACATCCCCAGCCGGCAAAGCATTCCAGGTGATATCCACAGCCAGATGGGCGCCCTCAAAGGTGAGTTGAATCAATTGGCGATGATGTTCAGAGAGGTCCAGTGCCATAAGCAATTTCGACACAACCGTCATGTCAGCTGACACATTGAGAGGGACCAAGGACATGTCATCACAGAATCTGATCATGGTGTGTCCAACAAGCCATGGTTGCCATGAGACAATACTTGGAATGGCCTTGGCAATGAAGTCCGCAAAGGGTTGGAGAACCAACATATCATCACATGCTCTCACCGTTGCCCGGTCAACAGTTAGCCTGTCATCCCAGCACTGATGAATGAGTTGCATCTTGTGAATGGGTTCACCAAGCACACTTTCAATCGCAAACAGAGTCGCAGCCAACGCATGGATCTGTGAAATTGCATTTCCCAATTGGTGGAAAGCCTTTCTCATGTCTACTGGGAGTGCGATGGAGTCAGTTGTGCCAAATAGCGAAACAAAAGTAAACGGATCAATGAAACTGACCTTTTGATTTTGCTGCGTCAGAGCCGCAAAAATGCCTTTCGTCTCGAGATGTTCCCTCTGCAGTAAATGTTGTGCAGTATAGGATGCACACAGCGTAGGTAAGAAATCACCTCCTTGTGCAACTCTTTGCAGTAGGACTTGCTGGGCAGTGGCACCATCCACAACTCTTGCTTTCTTGGCCGGGGGAAGTAAATCCCGGTTGCCATAGATCTCAACCTGCTCAGAATTCAAGGCCAAATTCACTTGCAACTGTTCGGGAAGGGCAAAGATGTGCCTTGTATCATTCCAAGGAGCTCGTCGATTGGCAGCACAAAGCAAACGCTCATTGGACTTCTGATGCTCAATGTCCTGTCGGCACCAAACTGCTAACCACCTGGTGCGGTGATTGGCAGTCAACTGGTGAATAGCCACATCCTGAGACCACACTTTCCGATATCCTGCAAGCTGGAGGGCAGCGGAGATTGCACGCCAATGTGGGTGACTTTCGATGCTATCAGAACACTCAAATAGGGCCAGGATCGGTCGAACTCGAGCGATGTGCTCAACTGAATCCAAGAAGCAAAAACCTTCGTCTGTGGCAAGGCCAGAGTGCTTACCACCCCGACTCCAGCTGGGACAGGGTGGTGATAGTGTCATCAGCAAGTTCAGCTTAGATGATGTTGCCCGCAGTAAGGACGAGTCACTCACATCCGCTTGAATCCCAACGAACATCTCCTTGGAGTCATAGGAAGGAAGGATCGGAGCTTGGAAGTGATCCCTGCCATGGTTGAAGGACCATGTGCTCATCACTTCAGCATTCCAATCCACGGAAACGTGTGTGGCAAAAGAGTGGCCAAGATTGGCCTGTTGAAGCCACCACATTGCACGAAGCCATCCCTCATATGCACCAGAGAACAAGTGTGTGACATTCCAGGCAAGGTTGGCATCGAATTGGGGAAGATTCCATATCGGCATGTGTTCATCTGCAAACACCTCACAATTGGCAGAGCGTTGATGAGGTCGAACAAGGGCTCCAACCATCAAGCCGGCTGTAAAGTCCACCCTGGAGTGCATAGTGGAGCAGACGATGTCAAAACGGCCCCACTCAGGTAACACCTCGTCAGAACCCATCAGCATCGAGGTTCGCTTCATGTGGACTCGAAGGGGTTGCCCAACCTGCAAGTCAACAACCTCGCCAAAAAGGATCCAATCCGAAGCAACATGTCTGCATTCACCCGTAGTAGCAATGCCTTGAAGAGCCGCTCGGACAGAGGAAGCCAAGGCCTCAGGCATGCCTCCAGTAGCCCAGTCCATAAGTGCATCTCTCGCAAGATGACCATCCATTCTCTTGGTGCTCAAGTTATCCATGGCGATTCCACTCCAGGTGAGGCGTGGATCTGTAGACGCGGGACCCACACCCACGAAGGTGGCAGCCCCGCCCCGGCCCTCGCGATTGGGCGTAAGGTGAATGAGCTCGAGCCAAGACACCTAGGGGGGAGCTTCTTTGAAGAAGCGCTCGCACTATTCATTTGGTTCCTAGATTTTTAGAGAAACTTAACTATATTGGAGCTAATAGCAAAAGATCGAGTCAGTATGCAAGAAGCGATGGCCTCCAAAATGATGGCAATGGTCTCCAACCCAATAGCCATGGCCTCCACCCTAGCACGAGCAATGGCCTCCAACCAAATAGCAAAAGATCAAGTCAGTGTTTGGCACGGGCTGCACCTATTTTGCGCTCTTTTCGGCTGTTTGATTGCGATTTGGGCATGTGATCCGCAGATTCTGTCGCTCATCTAGGAGCACCAAGAGAAGCTCACACCGTAAGGCACGGAGATGGGAGCAAAGTGTACTCAACAATGTTTGGTGTTTCTTAACTTTCCGTAAAAAAAAGAAAAAGGAAAGATAGAAGAAAAAATAGCAATGGCCTCCAACCTAATAGCAATGTAACAATGTCTGATGTGCCTAGTAGCGCTGGCCTCCAACCCTTTAAAAGGTGTCCGAACCAGAGCAGAGAACGTAACGGTCTACAGAAAAATGGAAGAAGGTAGCAAAAGAAAAATGCTACTAGTAAGAAGGAAGCTACTAGTAACAAAGGGCATCGCTAGTGGTGACAAACAAGAGCATTACTAGTAGTAGCAGTAACAAAGGGCATCGCTACTGGTAGCAAGGACGCTACTAATAGCTCCTGGCCTTGCTACTAGGAACAAGTGCCTCGCTTCTAGTAGGTTTACTGTTGTTCGGTCCAACAACTTCGTTTGTCCAGGCACTGGCACGAGAAGATGATGATGTCAGCAGCGTCTCAAGTGCCTAGGCCAAGAAGCGATGGCCTCCACCTAATACCTGTCAGCAGCTTCTTGCTCCTAGTAGCGATGCCCTAGTAGCTTCTTGCTCC